TATGAAAAATAGATTGGAAGGCTGGAGGACAGGAGGTAGAAATGAGATTTCCAGTTCTTACCCAAGACCAGAATTAGCAGGATGAATAGTTATATACAGTTGCAGTTTCATTTTATTTTATTTCACCTTGTAAAATACTAGTTTGAGGTTCATTTCACAAAGAGTTTTTGGGCGGTCATTTTCACAGTTGGTTAAAAGGGCTAAAGTTTGTTTTTCCCCTGTGTAAGAGACTAGTCCTTGGGAAAGTTGTTACAAGGTTAGTTATTCATGCAAATAGACAGTAAGAAGAGTAATTGCCTCTGTCCCCTGTCTCTGCTGCCCTGGATCACCACAAGTACAGAAACATGCAGGTCACTGGCTGGGCCTTTCATTTCAGAAGTAAAAGGGAAAAGAAATAATGGCCAAACTTGATACCACAGGTTCTCTTACAAGATGTATGCTTATGGGTGAGCATAAATACTGAACTATACATCCAAGTGTAATTAGCATGCGAGGAATTATGATAAAAGTTATGTTATTTTTCTCCAAACTTATATACATATAAAATGTGGCACCCAATTTCAAGGTTAGTAAATTTCTTGCGCTCGTCAGTTATCAGTACCAGATTCCACAGACCCTATTGTTAAAGACCCTTCTTTGAGAAGATATGCCTGTACAATGACACACATATATATTTATTAATTCAAAAAATATTAAATGTTTTAGACTCAGAACTATATTTTGAACATAGAGCCAACAAAGATATGGCTTTTTACAATGCTATCAACCATTCAATAGTTTGGTCAACATTTCGTACATTACACACACATATACACAAATGCACCTAGGTTTTAAATAGATAAAATGTATGTTTTATTTCTAGTGTTTTAATGTACTGGGTACATACAACATGCACACACACATGCACACCCACAGGATATTTAAACAATAAAATCTTTGTTTCCTGGACGAGGATCTGTCAATTTGTCCTCGGTTGAATGTGGGGGCCTATAAACACATGCCACACCCAATAAATAAGTTCAGAATTTTCCAATAATACTTCCTGTGGTTGATTGTAATTGAGCTTGCTCTTTTCAGCTCACCTGCTAAAGCAGTTTTTTACTAGAAAGAAAAGCCTTTTTGTCCCAGATGTAAACTACAAGATATCCACATTTCAGAGTGCAGTTGGTACGAAATGTCTGTGCCAGTCAGAGACCCTCACAGAACAAAATCTTTCCAGAGCTCAACTCCCCGCAAATGTAGGGACTTCAACTGAAACAGAACTTAATTATAAAATGTAATCTAGGGACATTTGAAATGAGACCAACATTAAACTTTGAATAACAAACTGGGATAAGCATTTGCAACCCACCCCATGGGGATGAGCCAATTGGCAAGTGAAGGATCTCTTCTGTGTCAAATGCTTCAGTGCCTTGGCTACAAAAGTTCTGAACACATCAGAATCAGAAAAATAAATTCTTGGTCAAATTTTAAAAAATGTATTATTTTGGCATGTACCCTACTATATGTATAACCTAGGATGTAAACAATGAGTTACTTATGCCTACATTTTGTACTAAGCAGTGATGGAGGAAGGATCTTAGGGAGGATCTCAATCAGGGAATGGGCAGGAGATGAAATATAGATATTGGAATTCTTGGAGCAACTGACCAGCCTGGAGCCTGACTTTGATAAATACACTATCCAATCTTGCCAGCTACATTTGCTAACACCTTGCTACTCTGTTTCTTCTACCTGGAGCCATTAATACATTAATACTGACTGCCTTGGAGAGGAAGGGGGAGGGGCTGGGGGGAGGGGGAGAGAGAGAGAGGATTATGATATGGAGACAACCTCATTTTTTTTATACTGAGACAGGTCAGCTGTTATGCTTAGCTTATTTCAATTGGTAGGTAATTTTTTTTTCTATTTTGTTTTGACAGGGATAACTTTTCAAATTAAATCCCTTTATTGAATTTTCACCCTTGGATAGTTTCTGAAGATGCTGCCTTTGCAAAAAAAGTGTAATAAAATAAATAAAATTAGAACTGGTATATTTCATGCCTTGTGAAAGCTGAGCCTGAGATGACAGTTTGGCATTATCAATGGCCATGCCTTCAGGGAGCACAGGAATAATGTTGGGTGTAAGGAAATATGTAGATCAGGGAGAGCGAAGTCCTCATTGTTTTTAGGCTATAGGCTTGTGTGCATTATATACCACAAACCAGAAAACAGTGTTATCCCTAAAAGCTTGAAAATGAAAGCAATTTGAGATGCTACAATTTCCATCCAGAGCTTTCTAAACAAGGGGTGTAGTCAAGCAAACCCTAAAGCTCTTTCATTAGTTTTCTGTTGTCGGACTTCACTACTCAAAGCCTATTCCACAGACCAGCAGCATTGGCATGCTAAATGATCTTTAGGTGGGTTGTTACTTTAGTTGGCATGCTAAAGTTGGAGATGCAATGCTCTAAAATTTTCAGGTGACATGGTAAGTGAGGTGAGATGGCCAGCTATTAATCCTGACAATTGGTCAACTATGCATTCATCCATTCAGCATATATTTAGTGAGCTCCCCTTACATGTAGACACTGTGACATAAGCTGGAGATACAATATTGAACAAGACATGCACGGTCACTACTCCCATAGAACTTACAGACTGGTGGGGAGGAAAAATTGTAAATGAAATGTATAATCTCAAACTGAGATGAGTTTGATAAAGGAAAAACATAGCTGGATGAAATCAAACAAAATAAGAAACTGGTGTACATTGGAAGCTCAAGAAAGGCGTCCCTAAGAAACAGGTGATTAACCTGAAGTCTGAACCATCCACAGTGATTAATTACACTCAATCGGTCAGGGTAGGGGAAGAGTGGAGCATAATCCAGGGACACTACATTGGAAGCTCAAGAAAGGCGTCCCTAAGAAACAGGTGATTAACCTGAAGTCTGAACCATCTACAGTGATTAATTACACTCAATCGGTCAGGGTAGGGGAAGAGTGGAGCATAATCCAGGGACAGGAAACAGCAGGTATCAGGGCCTTGTGGCAAGACATAGAATCTGCATGTTCTGTGAATCAAAAGCAACCCCAGAGGACTGCAGTAAAGGAATGAGGAGAGGACTCAGTGAAATTAGGCTGAAGAAATGAGTAGGCCTATTATTATGCGAGTGCTATAGGGCAAGGTGAGAACTGTGCTCTTTATCATCATAGCAATGGCAAGAAAACAGGTGATGTATTTCTTTTAGCCTGAGGAAAGGGTTGCTTTCCCTGTCATGTAGTAAGAACTGAACCTTGGAATCCAAGATAACATCAGATGCTCCAGGAAAATGGAGGGGTCACCACCAGAGAAAGCCCACTGAACAGGTGGGAAAGTGGATCCAAACTGTTGAGCTCATTCTGTAACAGGCATGGTGCTGGGCGTATTACATATGGTGGCTCTGTCTGGTTTTACAGAGGAGGAATGTGATGGTCAGTCTCAGAACCTGATCTGTGCCCCCAGTGACTGCCAAAAAATAAATCAATTTCTCAAAAGAGAAAGCAAAATTTCTAGAGATGCAAACTCTCATGGTGTGTGCATGGTCACAGAGGATGTGTGGTTTCTGGGGAGTTAGTGTTGCAGGGGCACCAGCTTCTTTGGAGTCTAAGCTGGGAAAGTTCAGGTATCTTCTGCCTTTGCATTCAGAAGAGCTAAGGACAGGCAGACAGGCACACATGGCAGTGATTAGGATGCTTTTGAACTTTTAGGGATGTTTTAGAAACAGGGTATGTCTTGGACATTAGCTCAGTGCTGGGTAACATACAACAACCTCATTGCTCCACAGTAACTATATAGTCTGTTCTCTTCTCTTCTACACTTGAGACCTCTTTCTTTCCCCCATCTTCTTCTTCATTCTCCTATACACTTTCCCCTTTTCTTGTTTTCTTTTATGCCTTTCACCTGTAGTGCACTATCTTAGGCCTAGTGGTGCCCCTCAACTGTTTAGCCCTTCAGAGGATCCACAGGACCAAAGAAAGGAAAGGAAACTTATGATGCTGTTGTTTAAATGTCTGACAGGTCAGGCACTGTGCACCATGTTTTATATACACTGATTAATTCTCACCTGGATGGGCTTTGTGAGATAGACATTACTGACTTCTACTTATTTACCATAAACCTCTAAGTATATTATTACTTAAATTTCCTAAACCTTTGAAGGTTTTTATTCCCATTTTACAGATGAGGAAACCAAGTCATGAGGATTAATTGTGATACAGTTTATAAAGTGCCTAGCACAATTCCTGGTACAGGGTAAAGGCTCAGTCAATGTTAGCTACTACAGAAATCATTATTATTAACTTGCTTAATTATAGACAAAGAACCTGAGGCATAAAGAGTTTATAAGTAGCTTTTTCAAGGCAACACAATTAGTGAGTGGACATTTGAGACATTTAGACATGGGTTTGAATTCTGGATCTGCAACTTACTCTCCTCAATAGCATGTACATGGAGCCACAAGCTCCACGCAGCACAGTCTTCCACAATATGTACCTAACGAGGATTGTCAAGAGCTACCAAGGAATGAGCACGCAACTCCACTGCCTTTTCCATCCTGCTGCTTATGATGGGAGACACATAGAATAATTCTCTTTTTTTCCTGTTCTTTCCAAGTGTTTTGTGAATCTCCAGACAAGACAGTGAAGCATTGCCTGGATGATATCTGACAAAATAGGGAGACTGGAAAAAAGCAAATTGAAACAAAGCAGCAGCAGCAGTAGCAACGACAAAACACAAGGAATCGGGAGTTTTAGAATTTTTTTTTTTTTTAACCCGGAAAGACACTGAGAGATCTGTGCTAGTGTTGCCACTATCCAAATAAAAGTATTAAAATGATTAGGACAATTATGGATTACTGAGGACAGGGAAAGTCCTTATTCCCAAATGACTTGGATTATTGCCACTGTGATTATCCAGACTCAGTTCATGATAGATTGATAGAACTAATACTACCAAGAACATTGGGACAAAGTTGATTTACTTACGACCATCCACAGTTCTGGCCTCGAGATGCACAAGGTCTGGTTCCTTGTTCGACCCCATCACAGACCTAAAAAAATGAAGAAACATGAAAAGAAACAAATATCCCCATTAATGACTTCACACATGCCTTAGAGGAACTCAGCAGAGCCAACGGACATTAATATCCACAGGCTTCTAAAATCGCAATCCTAGGAATATATCTACTCTATTTATTTATATAGCCTGACAGTAAAATTTCCACTTCAAATAAAAACTATAATGAAAACTTTATTTGATGAAGGCCAGGCTGAACTCTGGCAAGGATATTGCATGTTATTAGCTCAGACTTGCAAATAAGTCCTGCACATGGCATCTGTGTACTCCTGCAACAATCTCACCGACAGCATATTAAACTTTCAAAACTTATCAGGCAGATGCCAGGCATACTGCTTTAGCTGGGTGATTTAAACAGTGATTTACATAGCGAACTGATCTAATTAATTTTTTCATTTAAAATTTGCAGAACCACCTCCTAGTGCCTTGTGGACTATGAACAAACCATGTGACCCAACCAATGCAGAGACAACCAGAACAGTGTGACAATTCTGTGCATTGTTAAATTAATGTGAGGGGAAAATTCAGATGCACCCACATTGAGATATGTGCTTGAAACCATATGTGTAAATAACATAAAACCCTATTTAAAATGCCTTGGAGGCCCATAGTATTCTGTGCACCATATTAAATAGAAAATAAATAATATGGGCAATCATACTCTAGGATTTTTATACAGCAAGATTAGTAAAACTTGAGATGGTCTGTACATTTTTTTTTTAAGTCAGGATTTGCAGAACTTTAATGTGTTACATTTCTACATGGAAAATAGTCAAATGCCTCCAAGGATTTTTATACAGCAAGATTAGTAAAACTTGAGATGGTCTGTACATTTTTTTTTTAAATCAGGATTTGCAGAACTTTAATGTGTTACATTTCTACATGGAAAATAGTCAAATGCCTCCAATCAGGCATACTGCTTTAGCTGGGTGATTTAAACAGTGATTTACATAGCGAACTGATCTAATTAATTTTTTCATTTGAAATTTGCAGAACCACCTCCTAGTGCCTTGTGGACTATGAACAAACCATGTGACCCAACCAATGCAGAGACAACCAGAACAGTGTGACAATTCTGTGCATTGTTAAATTAATGTGAGGGGAAAATTCAGATGCACCCACATTGAGATATGTGCTTGAAACCATATGTGTAAATAACATAAAACCCTATTTAAAATGCCTTGGAGGCCCATAGTATTCTGTGCACCATATTAAATAGAAAATAAATAATATGGGCAATCATACTCTATGATTTTTATACAGCAAGATTAGTAAAACTTGAGATGGTCTGTACATTTTTTTTTTAAGTCAGGATTTGCAGAACTTTAATGTGTTACATTTCTACATGGAAAATAGTCAAATGCCTCCAAACTGGTCCCTCTGCCTGCCCTCAGCCACTCAGCTCTTCCATCCAATCCATACTAGAAAATGCAGATGTTAAAAATGCTTGTCACCTTGAGGACTTCGTGTGGTACCTGAGATCCCACAGGGCTCACATTTGCTGCCTCACCTCCTGCCACACTGAAAGACTTTGCCATCCCCTGAAAGCACCACATTCACATCCTCACCTCTCTGAGAGCCTCTGTAAGCCTCTGTCTTTAGCTTGCAATGCTCTTCTCCAGTTTCACCGAATCCTCCTTAACTTTTATTTTAAGACATAACTGAAAAGTCACTTCCACTGTTAAATATATCCCAGTTACAAAAGGAAAAACATTTTCCTCCTATCAACAAATATTTATTCTGATACAAATCCTGTCAGATACTTATCACAGTTTATTATACACAATTATTTTTGTGCTTTTCCCAATGTGAAAGTAACCTCCTCCCCCAATGCACACAGACACCAAACAGAGCTACTGGAGGAGCTTCATTTTAAACATTTTATATTCATATACACACACAAACACACACACACATACATACATGTAGTTCCTGGCATATCATAGATAGTCAAATGCAGAATAAAAGAAGGAAGGAAACAAAGAAAGATTAAAGGAAAAAAGGAAGGAAGGGAGGGAGAGAGGAAAAAGAGAAGGGGGTGTGTATAAAAGTCTGTGAATTTTTCAAAATAAGTAAATTAATCATTCTCCTAGGGACATTCCCAGAACTCTTCTTATGTGAACTCATTTCCCCAGCTCACAGAGTCTGAGGCCTGGCTAGCTCAGTCTCTCTTTACCTTTAGAAAAGGAGTCTCCTTAAGGCCTTATTAACTCTGTCAGGAAGTTTTCTCTGATTGACACGTGGCCTGAAATTCAGAGTGTATGCTCAAAACACTAAATCCTGCTGTCTTCTTCTCCCAGGAAGCAGACATTTCCTAACAAGAGTCTTATAATTTCCCCCAAAGAGACATGGGACATGCCTTTGGACATTTCACATCATCAGAATCTACTTCTGCTTGTATACAGGCAGAAGGTGAACCTTGCACCATTGTTTCTGTTATGTACTGTAGCGACTGCTCGACTGTTTGTCTACAGGCTGAAGAGGTGACTGGGTCCACAGGCGACCTCTCCTGACAAGGCCACAAATCATGAGCATTAAAAAAGAAAATGAGATCCCTGACAAGCCTCCAAGTAGAAAGCTCAGCAGGCAACTGTTTTTTTCAAAATATTAATGGGTAGTTACATCTTGTTCATCTGTCCACCTGCTCCGAGTTTCTTCCTTGAAATGACTACCACCTTTTATTCCCAGGAGAAGCTGGCATCCCGGAAGCAAAATGTCAAAAACTCGCATGCAAACCCATCTGCTAGGCTTATGGTTAGTGTCAACGGGAGGCTAAATAACTACCACGGACCCAGTTGCATCTTTCCATGTGCTCATGGCCCCAAATCAGTAACAGCAATAGTTTCTTAAGATCTCACATTATTTCTAAGGGCAGGAGTTACTGTTCCAACTACAGTCTACCCTCTTATCAACTAACGAAAAAGATACAAGAGCAAGATAGACTCCTCTGTTTTTCCAAAATCTATTGTGGCTCACTAACCCCCTTACCCTGCCTAATTATTTTTTTCCATCTTTAGTGAAACAATTATAACAACAAAATAAAACTTTAAATATTAAAGTCAAATCACAGAGTTTCCAGCAATCTTTATTTGCCAATGGGCTCACACCTAAACCGAGTGGCCTAGAAGTACCTCTAGCAGTCATAAATAACTATTGCCGCTTTTACTTTATGGCTTTGCTGAATTCTTAATTGCTGAAGCTAAACAATGCTGAATGTCTGTGCAGTGCTGGTTTTAATGGTCCTGTCACTGACCAGACACCTGGGGGAAGTACTTCACTGCGGTTGACCCACACAGTATCGTTACTCTAGCCCGTATATACTCCTGCATTTTAGTTGGAACTATGAAGTTGGATGATTTTCTGTGTGTTTTAAGACCAACTGTGTGTATTATCATCATCAAAGAAACACAGTATAAACATAAAATTTAATCCTAAATGATTTTATGTGCAGAGTGGGATCTCAAGAGTGGTTCAGGCATCTCCATCCAAACATGTTAGTAAGTGTGACTTTTGGAGTTAAGCACAAGAAGCTGGGAAACTTTGCTTTATCCTTTTAGATCGCCCTGTACACAACACTGGCATGGTTCATCATGGTTTGCTGGATCTCTTTGCATAAATGGCTCTCTTACTGCACTGAGCTCCCAAAGAGCAGCTGTTCTGTCTTTTATCACTGAATTCTCTGTGCTTATCAAAGCATAGAGAAGCACATTTTCCAAAAAAAAAAAAAAAAAAAAGTTAACATTTTTACACTGGTCAATATTTACTATCTTGTATAGCTGGTTATTCAATTCTGGGCCTCAAAAGAACCTTTTGATAAATGAGATGAAAAATTTGGTTCAGGATCCTTTAATTATAGAAAAAGGCAATAGGTAGCTGTATCTTGTATACCTTTATATTGCCTTTATGTCTAACTGGGAAAATGAGTTCCCTTCTTGAACTGGATTTCATGGAAGGGAAGAGGAGTCTTTTTGTCTGTGCACATGCTCGTGTCTCTGCCTAAAATCCCATCTCCGTCTTCCTCTGTCTTCATAACTCTTATTGCTGGGGCTCAGCTGCTATGACTGAAGTTGAAAATAGGCTTCCACTGCTAGTGGGGGTTCCACTTACGCCAAGCTAGTTATGTCTTCTGAGACTTTCAGATCTATGCACATACTTTTGCACAACAAAAATTAGGCCATGTTAACAACTGGTGACTCATTTGCCTACCTTTCTAATTGACAGACAAGCTCAAACTTTTACATGTATCTGTACCAGGCACCTGCATGCCACACATAGGCATTCACAAAATGTTTACTGAATGGTTTTGGAGAAAGGAGGAGTGCACAAACCAGCCGTGTCAGCATTTATCAATTCATCTGTATGCATCACATTCGGTAAATTGCTTAACATGTCTGTGCTTTGATTTTTCAATCTATAAAAAGAAGGTGAAATAAGTTTTCTTAGGATATAGATCATAAAGTACCTGGAAGATTCCTAGCACATAGCAAGGACTCAGAACATGCAACTGATTTCTTTCTCCTCTCTCTCCACCTTTTGATTTCAAGAGATGGGTAGGGAATATTAATACTCAAGAAATTAAAATTAATGTTAGTATCAAAAGCTTCTTGGAATATCACCGGTGCCCCACTAAAATAAATGTTTTATCAAAATTATTTATCATCATAAGACAAAATTAAGAGTCAATGTCTCAGAGGTTAATTACATAAATAAATAAAATTCACTTGTTTATTTAGCCATGTATTTATTCATTAGAACATTCCGAGCTCCTGTTATGTAATGAGAACAAGGACTATAGATTTCCAGTTCTAAAGAACTTTAGAACTACAGAAGAGACAGTAATCCAAAGAAGCAAGGATTCTAATATTGGAGGTGCTATTTGAAGACATAAGAAGAATGACTTTTCACTTGCAGATAGAGACCTGGAGGATAAGGACAGTCCAGGAAGCCTTTAGAATAAATGGACTGAATCATCAA